TCCACTGTTTCTTGATTTGTGTATCCACTTGAAGGCCTTAAATCACAAGTTCTGTCTTTCTGTTGCTATTGTCCATGCAACCCCAAGCCTAAACTTTTCTACCGCACATAGAAACAACTGCGTATACATTTCGAAATAAAATTTTATCGAAGTGTCTCAAAGTTATCAACCTTTTGAGTATACATGTTTGCTACTTATTTTCCATTTTTTCTTTCACTCACTCTCTATCTCTATCTCTCTCTCTCTCTCCATCTATCCGCGTTATTTCCATAAATATTTAAATTAACGTTGCTCGTTGTTGTATAACCGGCGCCAAAAATTTGAAGATACACATTTCCAACATTTTTAAATCCACGTATCTTTTAACATTTAAATAAATTCCTCCCCCCCGCAGTACTATCTACACGTTTTTAAAATAGTGCTATTAATTTCTTGTACGATATCCTGCTTTCATTTTACTGTCGACCTTGAATGTTCGATATGTCTCACTCGAGTTTTGAATAGGGACCCTTCAGAGAGTGGGGGGAGGAGTTTCGGTTGGAGGAGGAGATGGATTATACTTTTTGGTTACTTTTTAAATTGTAGCATACTCCATCAAATATCAGTTAGCCAACACTGTTTGAGGATAATCCTCGTTTACACAGAGAATCTCACGAAACACAAATTTAAAATGCAGATTTATTAATTGTTAAAGCCGGTGGGACGTATAATTGCCACTAAGCGATAAACTGTAATGCAGGGTGAGTGGGTGTAACATGTGGTACTTGAAAAAAAAGGATCAAAGAATTTCTCAGAAAATCTTGGAAATAATAAAGACTATAATGTCACGCCTTTTAATAGGCCTGTGTGTCATAATTATTCCACATGAAACACAAGGCTACACAGAGGTTTAACTGCGTAGAGATCGTAAAAGATTCCTTGTTCAAATAGAAAGCAATGCACGTGTAGTTGTCACCAGATCACAGAGAGGCACATGCTATGAGTAAAGACCGACTGGGGTCCACTCTCAACACCATTTCAAGACACGCCTCTAACTAGAGAAAAGTTAAGATCGTATTCTTAAAAATGTAACTACATCATTCATGTTACTGGAAATGTGAAGTTTTAACTTTCACCAACACATAAATTAAATACAGTGGAATCCATTATCAGAAGTTGACAGTCGCTTCCCTGGTCAATAAATTTGCAGTCTTCTATGCAACATAAATATTCACTATAATGTTCAAAACAAACAGCTACTGAAACTAAAGAAGTTAAATGTATTTCACACTCTTACATTAATTACTGAGACCGTTTTAATATTATTCTCCCATATACGATTGTTTCTTCCAAATGGCCTTTTTTCTTCGGGGATTCTGACAAACCGTGTACATTTTTCTCACTTCTCTTTCGTGCAACAAGCTCAAACTGTCTCGTTATTCTTGATTTAACCCTAATATTAACAGATAAAAGTAAAGTTATGAAATTACTTATCATACAATTTATTAAATATTCTGCATCGTCCTGCCAAATCCTCTCTTTTATGCACTAAAATTCTTCCTATCACCCTTTTATGAAACATGTTTCATCATCGAAAATACTTACAAGCGTTTTTATTAAATTTGGTACTGAATGTAGAACCTAAAATTCTTCGAAGTAATTCAATTTTGGTTTTCATCGGCTCTATACAAAGTAGCAATAAAGACACTAAGATCTGATACTTTCATTTGACATGCTTTTCGATATCGTTAATATTTAACCGAATGAGAAATCAATTTAAAGATTTAGACGAAGATGGCAAGAAAATGTTTAAACATTCCTTAGGATATATTATCATGAAGTGAACTGGAATCATTTTGCTTAAAACATCTTTCAATGGCTGGCTTTTGCATCAGCTGTTTTGAATCTATTTACTAAAATAAATCTGGTTGAGACCATAAAATACGAAGAAATAAAAATAACTCAAAATATGACACAAAGTAGACCACAGATTATACGATTTTAATTTCGATGAAAAGAAATAAGCTTTTAAAATGTATAAAAACAAATAACAACATATGGATTTATTGCTTATTTAAACTGAGTTTTGCTGCTGGAAGCTCTGGAACATACTGGTGTAAAAACAAAAAATGTATTTCCAGAGATTCGACTTTGGTGTTTTGCTATTCTGTGAAAGTTACCAACTTTTCAAGCCACGGAGATGCATAATCTTTACTTCGATCCAACCTTCCGAAAAATAAGACAGCAATATCGCTCCACTACTTTATCACGTGACACGATAAGCGTTTCTTTCAGATAACCAAAACTGTGGCATTCAGAACAAAATTCAGCCCAGTCTCGATAAAATCACATCACACATGAAGCAATGTCACATGATCTAAGAAGGAGTAAGAAAATCTAGCAGAAAATGTCAGCGTTAACATAAGAAATAGGTCTTTCACTTATGAAGACATTTTGGATCTATAAAGGCTATCAAAGTGTAACCTTCTAACCCCAGTGACGGTGAAAGTAGACTACCTGATTTATAATCCAACTATAATCAATGCCCTTGTGCTGCATAAACTGTTTCATTTAAGTAAATGTGACCTTACAGGAATAATTTGTGCATGACTTAACACTTTCTGGTATAAGGAAATGTAATTTTGCACGAAATAAAGTGGGATGTGGAGAAATGATAAATTATTATGAAGCATTTAACATTTTAGTCAGAATACATAAAGGGAAAAAACTAGTTTCGAAGCTTAATAGAGGTTGAGTTAAATACGATTTCCTTAAGTTTGGATTGGATTCAGCTGACTCAAGATAGAATTGACTGGCGGTCTAACGAACCATCGCGTATCATAAACGTTGACAATTTTCTGAACAGCTGAGCAACTAAAAGCTCTGCTCCGTAGAGTTTGACGGAAACACGATAGCGAACAATTATGGAGCGGTAAAGAGTTCGACTCCTACCCAGAAAGTATCCGGTTCGAAACCATGCAGGGAACTCTTACATTATGCGAGGTTTATCGCAAGATATCTCCATCCGATCTTGACTGCTCTTTGTGTATGATCAACTCACACACATTCAACTGGCATAATCCAATAGACAGAAAAGAGTTGTAACATGGGACAAACTTCTCGGCATTATTCTTGTATTCACATTACACAAGGCTTTGTGGTGTCCAAGGACAAGCCCCTTCATTGTAGGTAATGAGAGCTGCTATAAGGTTTCACGTAACTCAAGGCTTCACGTGTAACTGGTTCATTTAAAGCAGTTTGCTACACTACAGGCTGCTATTGCCAGCAAATATCGCTATTAAAATAATAACAGTTGTAATGTAAGTGGTTAAACGTTTAACAACTGTATACATTTTGCAATAAGCACAACAATGAAAACAGTCACATGTCTTCAACCCCCCCCCCCCCTCATAAATCACTCCAAAGTCTATTCAACTTCCTGAATGGTGCTGGAGTCTGGTAGGAAATTTGCTGTGACCAATGAGAAAACTTACAAGCGTGGCCAAAAGAATCTTCGACTATTTGTCATACGTTAGCCGCCTTTTGCAGAAACACAGACGTGGAAGAAAGTTAAAGAATCGATATGCAGTTTCCCGAACATGCCAAGTTCGACGAACTTCAGAAAGAAATCACTACATCATATCTGTCACGTGACGACTTGCTGGCAAATACCTTTTCTTGAAAACCTGTATCCGAATTCTTACGACGCCTTACACTTGTTCCGGCGAAAGTAACATTTTCGCTAAATAAATGCCTTATCACTTACACAACGACAGAGAGTCATTACAGTAGGAGGGACAAGTCTGAGTGCAACAAGGGCATAATTGGACTACGGATTAGGTGCCAAACGACAAGATTTGATGTTCTCATGTGAAAATGTAACGCAGATATCAACAATTCCGAGAAACATACTGTCTCTATCTTCAGGGCTAAAGTTCATATCACGTTACTACTCAGAAGACCAAAATCCGACAACCTAAGATATATTTCACAAAGAAGAATTTGTCAGAATGGCTGGCAGGAGGACATTGAAAAACAGAAAGTATATTTCAACAAGGTAAAGCAATGTAAAAAAGAAACTAATGTGACAAAGCGAAAGTAATAAAATACAGTTAACAGAAACAACTGCAAAAAATGCACAGGATCTACAGGTCGCCGCTGATATACAATATTAGTACCTGGAGATATCAATTTTCGCCATGGTTTTTCATAAAATAAACTGTACATGAGTAATTACAGAGTTTAAGCTCTCCCTGCTATAAAATACATCTTCAATAAACTGGTACTTAATGTTTCTTAACTACGCGTGTATAATCTTCATGCATCTGTAATAAACATCATGAAAATTTACACTAACAAGACACTAATTTCTTAACTGGCAAGTTAAATTCAGCTTCTATACACAACGATGAAAGACCTCTTTGTCCTTCTTAACTACGCGATTGTCTAGTAACGAAACAGAAATTAATACAGATTGCTTTATGCATTATGACGGATATGGTCCCATAGAAACAAGTAGACAAACATGACGGAAAGAAACTAAAATTTAATATTATAGACAGACGACTATTTAGTTTTACAGCAAAAGGGTTTCATTCTCTGAAATCAGTTTAATAATTAAAGTTGGCTATATTGTTATTAAGTAGCTACCTGGAAAAATTAACATCCAGAATAAATTTAATTCGCATCAGTCTATAGTTTCTCAAGTTCTATAGTATGGACAGACGGACAAACATGGTCACTCTGTTATGCGTTCATTTCGTACATATCGCGCAACGAACGCATGAGAACACTAGAAAAAATAAATTTATTGTTGCCTGAATTCATTATTATATTATAGAAGAAATAATAGCAAAATATTCCGTAACTACGTTTCTCCATTTATTAAAAAAACGACATTAACTCATACTAAATAAAAACATCGTTATAAAGACATCTATCATTTATCTAAAGATGTAGCAAAACTGTACCACATAAATACTAAATAAATAAGTAATTTTATTATGTATAGACTTTCCTACCTTTCGCTTGCTCTCCGGCAGCCTTTGGATATCACACACTACACCTGTAAATCAAAATAATATTGATATTAATCTTCCGGGTAGATAAATTGGTATCTACCTACAAGACCACATGGCGTTGTTATTCAGGCTACCAACATCGATATTTCCACCATCATCAGAACCTCAATCTACAATGCGTCTTACAACCGACGGCGCCATAAGACCTAGAAAATACAGTAACTGAAATCACCTAAAATTGTTTCTTAAGGGGTCTTGCTAACCAATATCACCCAGAGAATCTCCATTAGCTTCGCCGCCACTGCGTAAAATAAAAGTTTTCCAGGTAAAAATTGTGTCAGGTATTACCTGCTGCAGACGTAAATTTAAAAATACGTAACATGTAATATGCAGTATGTAACATAAATGCATTTTAATCAAAATTTCGCCCCAATGTTATACTCGCCTCGCGGCACACCGGTTGAGAAACAAAGTCTTCGATGCAGATCAGATATACGAAGAACTTTACTCTTTAACCTCAGAGACTGTGTAATATTGAGAAATATCCAATTGGGAGAGACCAGTTTATACGAACACTTATTTGTATTCTGTCGTGACAGGGCGGAACAGCGTAAAAAGTAATTTTAAAGAGATACAAAATCCTTACCTCATTCTTATAGCAAAACAGAGCGATTGGTAGAAATAACAGTTGAGGATGAAGCCTCGTAGACTTAGGTAAATACCAACTTTAGGAAAACATTCTGCTTCGATCTTCTAGACAGAAGACGGAGACAATATTTCTCCGAAAAGGTGGTATCTACCTACAAGCCCATACGGATCCACAGCCCAGAAGGAAAATATCAACATCACCAATGCCGTAAGAATCTCAAATCACATACAGAAATTTGTTCTGACCAAAACATCACCATCTCTATTCAATTGTTTATTTTACGACGAGCTCAAAATGCTGAAGTGACATCGGCAACTAAGATAACTTCATGGAGCAATGTTCTTCTTGAGGAACTGACGATCGCCGGGTGATAAGAATATTAACGAAAAGTAAATAAACCGGTAATCATGAAATTGGGGAGCATTAGCCTGCTTAAATGAAACAAAAAATACATGTGAACTTTCTCTTCGTAAATCCTTTAGAATATAAATTCGACTATGCGATAATAATTAAATAAACCCGATATGAGTATTCGAAGACGTGAACATGGTTAAATTAACTCTGGAAATTTTAAAAAAAATAGTTTATTTTACCATGGTCATAAACCCATTGGTTTTTATAAAAACTGCATATATTTCAAGTCTGGTTACAGCTGCTGTGATGTCAGTAAGTAATTTTTTGTCCTCTTTTCAGAGTCACATATCAAGTTTTAACCTTGCATTGCACTAGGTCTACATACTTATAAGTGCCTTCGGAGATAGGACAAATATCACGCAACAAACCACAATACAGAACACAGGTGTAAAACATACAAGACATTTCATTGAGGCTAGCTGGTCACTACATAATAATACAAATACATATTTATTTGGGCGGATTACGCTGTTGGTTTATTAGAAGGTGGGATAGTAGAATGTGCCAAGTCACTATAATTTTCTGATTAGTTTCTAAACTTCATGATTGCTTTGTTATTCGCATATCTTGCAATTAATCTAAGATACAAATGAGAACAATATATGTATCATTTATCATAGGGTAATTTCTGCGTCTCAGTACTTACAAATATAAAAGTCACTGAATTTCATAACACGGATACCAACATACGAAGAAATATCATTATCACTGTTTTTCGTTTATTCAAACACACTATTAATACATCATAGATGAATCGCCCTGATGATGGAGGCAGCAAGGACCTCTGAAACTTCGGTAAACTTCTACCAGACTACACGGCGCAACATTCCAGAAGGTTATAACGGCGGCGAGAATGATCTTCTGTAGCAACTTTTTGCGATCGAGGGTTTTCATGGCGCTGTAATTGTGGATTTTGGTCTCCTCAGTTGTGACGCTGCGCAGTATTTTTAGGATGGAATTTGTACCCCGAAGATGAAAGTGATACGTCCTACAGATATCATGTTTGGTTACGGCGGGCTCAGGTCTCATGTTCGTACTTTAAGACATTTCTTCTCCTCCTTTGTTAATTAAGCAACTACACTTATAAAAATGCCGATTTAAACAGACAATAGAAGAAGTAGATGCGTTTCAGATCATTCATAAGTTAACGATACTGAAAAGAACAGTAAACCATTGAAGGTAGCAGCGCGCATGTGCGGACTGAACCAGCCCAGTCGGGCGACTAGAAAGACCACTTAACAAAAACAGCGAAACCAGTGGAAACCGGTACAAGATGTCTCTTGAAAGACGGAGCGTCTGGTAAGCATGCAACTTGCCGTTGTTAGTCCTTCACAGAAATCGCAACGCGTGTAGCTGGAGTGCCGGTCGTACCGCTCGACTATTCTGTCGAGCACTTTCGTCGACAATAACAGCAAAAGTAGACCATTGGCTGCCTCCTTGTACACCAACGCCCTTCCCACTTCATCATTTCCATTCGATTTTGTATAGGTCTGATTTATTTATTTATTTATTATTAACTGCAAATGTGTTTTTACCCGGTGGCAGTGGTGGTATGTCCATAAGTGTCACTGAATAATAACTAAGTAAAAATACTATGTGACTCTTTACAAAATACTATTAAGGTGGTAGCATCAAGGAGGGTAACATGGACACGACGTATATAAACATAGGGAAAAACGAAATAATTACAAAATTTTAGTGAGGAAGTCCGAAGTAAAAATTAATACTATAAAATATCTTATAAATATATTAAAATATAGCCGCGAAGGGCACTGACAAATGAAAGTGAGTTTATAATAAACTCAAAATAAGAACAAGTTACGTAAATGTTATTTACTTGAAAGACTGTACTTTCAGAAACGCTTAGTAAGATTTGGTTACGTAAAACAATAACGCAGTAGTTTTCTTAAGAGCGGGTCTCTCAATTTGAAAAAAAATAATATAAATAAATATAAATAATATAAATTGGAAACTTTGTGATTTATAACAGTCACCACGTATTATTAGAAAAATAAAAATCTATTAGACTACGATGAATCGTAATACAGTTGATAGCCTATACCGACCAACGGATTTTAACGAAATTTCCACCACATACTCGTCGCATATTCGAGCTGCAGACAGTATCCACACTTGGAGTTACAAAACCTGTCTTACAACAATCACATGTAGGCGTGTTTTCTTCAGACCAGCTGGCAGATTCAACTGCCCTGTAATTATGATAATTACTAAGAAGTTGTTCCGTATCGTAGGCGACTTAACGCTGGCTTCTCACCACGAAGACATGAGTTCAGTCCTCGATTAAATACGTGGTCTACGAAGCGACACCAGGGGTAAATTTCTCTCAGAATTCTTCGACTTTCCCCCATTTAAGTAGCACATTATCACTTCAAATCTTACTTGTGACAATTACCTGGCATCGGAGAGCAGGAATTTCGTTTCTTTTCAAATAATATAGAGACAGAAGACAAAGGGATGGGAGTAGAGACAGGCATTACTCTTTTAATGCGGAGAGGGAGGAAGCGGCTACAAAGGTTCCCAGGCAGTGTCCGTTCGTCCTTCTGGTAGACATAAGTTTAGTAAAGGTAAGGCAATTGTAAATGGAAAAAGCTTACTTAAATAGTATTTAATAATACAGTCCGTACCGCTAAGAAATATCCAAATTTACTATTACAAATACCAATCTGCTAATGCTGTTTAAAGAAATTATCCCCGGTCACATCGAAAAATTTATATAAAAACGCAGACATGTTGATTTTTCAAGCAGGTGGAATACGTATTTACCACTAAGATTTAAAGGATTAAATAATGTGACCGAAAAATCTAACTGCTGGAATGCTTTCGTGCATTGACGATACAAAAGAAATCAATAAATATCGGAGAAATATAGGCTTAACCCACTCAGGAAATGAACGGTAATCTTAATGTTTATGTTTTGCGCCTTGTTGTCTTGTAATAGCAAAGCACTTTCAACTGTCGGCTCGCCCACAGAAGGCGTCCTATTGCTTGACAGCTATTGTGTTAATGTCGGAGCAGGAAAACGCCGTGGTACAGTAGCCGAAACTTCTACAGCTTTCAACTTCATGTCCCGGCCGAGTTCTTATGACTTCTGCTTTGTAACTGAGAGGTCTGTAATTCACATCTCGGCACGAAGACCACTATCCTAACTACAGCCTGTCGCAGTTTTTCTCAGTACCTCCAGGCAAATGCTGTGGTTGTACTTAAATTAGGCCACATCGCTCCCTTTCATACCCTTTCAAATTCATTATTCATTACTCATGCTAACTCTCGAAGCTTTGTCATACGATCTATTGACAATGACGGTAACCACAAATAAATTAATCTAAATCTCGTCGCTGAACACAAATCTAAAGTCGGATCCACCCTCATTTTCTAATTTCCTAACATGAATCTTCATTCCATTTTCCATTAACTTCTTTGTCTACCAATTAAACGTTTTCCAAATCTCGCTACCCACATTTAGGTTAAAATTGTCTGCCTATACATTCCATGCTTTGCAAACAAAATCTTCAGTTAATACAGCATTGATACTAATAAATCAACATACACAGTAATTTACAAATTAGATAAAATTAACACACCTGGCACACAACCGATTATTTTATTTTATTTATTTAGTGTTCTGTCTGACGACAGGTCCATATGAACAGGATCCTTCCGTCCTTTTCTCGGACTGGGACCTGTTCATATACGTTCTTGGCAGATGATCCAGAAGTGGTTTGCCATTGCCTTCGTCTGTGTGTGAATGGAGTAATTGTTGGGATGCCACGGAGGAAAACTCCGTGTTGCCTAGACCACGGCCTTGCCCAACACAAGTTATAAATTCGGGCACCGCCGGGAATCGAACCCGAGACCCCAGGATTACAAGGCCAGCGCTCTAACCGCTAGACGTTAACGTTAACTTAGTAACTTAATTCACCTTGTTTGATGTGTCTGCAACGAAAT